AATAACAAATGGCTTGGCAAGATACACCTATTGGTACAATAGTGGCATGAATGCTGTAGAAATAACTAATAATTTTCTGATTGCATTTAAGGCCTGCTTCACAAGATGGAGCCCATACCTGGCACCATTATCATGTGTAGGAACCTGTGGCTAAACAGGTCACTGGCCATAGGGGAGATCCTGCTGCTATTATTCTGCTAAATGGACATAATATTAAACCAATTCCTAATGGCTTATTGATATGCCCATAGATTAGGGCGTCTTTCAACTCTCACCAGAGAAACTTCTTTTTTTCCAGCAGATAGATAGAGATTAACCCAGAGAGACCCACAACTGGTCAATGTGCAGAGAATAAGAGACTGCTGAATGCTCAGTCATAAATGGCAAATCTTTTTTTCCCATTTTAAATGCACCAGGCACTGCTCCTAAAGACCTCAAAATGAAAAAGGGCTCACAAACATCTAGAATAAGTGATATGTGGTGAATACACACAATAAATCCCTTGGGTGAAGCTTTTTGAGAATTTCAGATTTTATCATATTTATGCATATCAGATTTTATATTTATGCATATGTGAAAGTTATGCATATGGCCAAATAACATGTCTATTCAAAGCATGCAGAGATCTTAAATTTATGCACTAGACTGATCTCTAGCCTTTGAGCAAGTTTAGTTTATTCCTCAAGGAGTGCCACAGTAAACGTCATCCGAAAAAAGCACTCTATTTCGATATTCTAAGAAATTAATGTAAAAACTTTAGCTAGGATAAGGTAAAGAAACAGAAACTGCAGTGAGAACAGGACAAAGAACAGTCTGTAAAAATAGTTTGGTAAAGTCCTAAAAGTCACAGGGTACTGTATCTTTGAAAGAAACACATCAAGAGCAGTCTCTCCATCTCGGGGTGGACCTTGTGAACTTTTCCCATCAGCTGGCATGTCAACGGATGTCATTATATAGTTCGTGCTTAGGCAACTGTGTTATTGGGATTTCGTGGGTGCAGTTTCCCTGTCATGTGTAGAAAACACTGTTTAGCAGCAGGCTTCCTCATTCTCTGGCTATTTCAACCTTTCTACACCCTGACCTGTGATTTTCCCTGAACCTTAGGAATAAGAGTTGCACTGTAGATGTCCCAACTGGGATTAGGCATTCCACTGTCCCTTAGTCTCTGTATTTTGACCACTTGTAGATTTCTGTAATTGTTTACATCTGTTGCAAAAAGAACTCTTTCTTTGATGGGGAGTAAGAGCTACATTTGTCTGTGGTATGAGGATAAGTACTTAGAATACAGTTAGAAATTAGATTGCTGGGTCTGGAGAGATGGCTCAGGGGTTAAGAGCACTTGCTGCTCTTGCGGAGGACCTGGGTTTGATACCCAGCGCTCATATGACAGCTAACAACCATCTGTCCAGTTCCAGGGGATCTGATGCCCTCTTCTAACCTCCACAGACACTGCATGACATGGGTGCACTTATATACATGTAGGCAATACACTTACACACATAAAATAAAAATAATGAATAAAATAAAAAGAAATTATATTGGTTTAGGAAAATGGCAGTAGTAGGTACTTCTCTTGGGTCTGCGTCTTCATCCACAGGTAGTTGCTTAGGTTTACAGTGCCAAGTGTGAATTCTCTCCTATTGAGTGGGCCTTAAGTCCAGTTAGATAGCTGTTCATTATCTACAAGATAAAAGTGCTGTGATTGCAGCACTGAGGATATATTGCCAAGTTGGTCATTGTTGTGGTTCATAGAGTTTACAAGCTGAGTAGTACTATTGATTGCTTTTCTCCCTTGGCCGCTTGCATAGCACCTTCTGATACTATGAGAGCTAGTCCTTAGGGAGAAGGCTTCCAGGTCAGTTCCAGCTCGAGTCCTCCAAGTCCCGTGTCTGAAGTGTGTGGTGTCTTCAGCAATAGGGTCTTGCCTTCAAGTTCTGGGAGGCAACCGATGTCAATGATATAATCTATGTAGTTTTGGGAGTTTCTGACTCCTCTGAGCAAAAATGCGAAGGGAGTTTTCCTGTGTCTGGCATTGGGGTTTTTGTCAAATAACCTATTGCTGTTGGGGGGCATTATCACCCCACATGGCATAACTCCATTTAAACTGTAACTATTTATATATGCATATATTATATGCATTTTTGTGTAAAATTATAAAATGTTTCTCCATGGCTTTTTCAAACATCTTTAGTGTCATTTACCTCCGCTTTCTCCCTCTCCCTCTGTATTACCCTCTCTCCCCCTTCTCTAGTTAAAGTCCCACACCCCATTTTTCCCATTCCCCTCTTGATAGAGCCTGTGTCCTACTATCCCCCTTCTCAAGATCTCGTTCTCTCCCTCTTTCCCCATGGTCCCTCGCTACTTCCCTGGTTCCCATGGTTACTTAAGGTTAAATACTCAAACCTAAAGATTTGGAGCTAGAAATCACAAATAAAGAAACAAGGCTGCCAAGAGAGGAAGAACCAGTGTTTTTCAGGGCTGAGCTCCCTCATAGGTTATCCAATCCTAAGTGGTCAGCTCTAAACACATGTACATACAAGCAACACTGAATGGACCCCATAAGTTTTATATGTATATATAATAACAACAATTATAATATATGTAATAATAATTAAAGAAAAAGGTTATGAAACTGAGAGGGAGTTGGGGGGACATGAGAGTAGTTGGCCGCATGAGGAAGTGGCAGAGATGATGTAAATCCAGTTTGTATGACAGTCTCAAAAAGGTACAAAATTTAAATTAAAATATTTGAAAATGAAAAAAGAGCAATGTCCATGAAAGGTAGAAAATCTGAATTCTAGAATTTCTACATTCTAATAGTTAAATGTTAATTTTAGAAGGACAATAAAAGAGCAAACCATGAAAAGAAGAATAAAGCTGTGGCCCATTTAAAGAGAAAACATACTAGGAATGGTCACTGTGGGAGACTTGATATGTACAAAAGATAAAATGGAACATGGACAGAGTACTAAAAGAAATGAGGGGTTGGAGAGATGGCTCAGTGATCAAGAGCAGTGGGTGCTCTTGTGGAAGACCTGGGTTTATTTCCTGGCATTCACACAGTGGCTAACAAGAGTTTGTAACTCCAGCTTCGGGGTCCCGTGCTCTTTTCTAGCCTCTGTGGGCATTGCATGACTTGTAAAATAATTAAAAAAAAGAAAGTAGGAAATCAATGTATGGAAATGTCAATAATAGAAACTATAAAAGAACAAAACAGAAATCTGAGTGAGAAAATTGCAATCAATGAATCAAAAAATTCACTAGAGATATTTAGCAGGAGATTCAAGTGACCATAATAATTAACTAATGGATTTAAAACAGTAAAAATTATCAAGACTGAAAAATTGACACATAGGCTTAAAAATGACTAGCACTGAAGGGACTAATGAGATGTTATCAAACTGACCAAACATAGGCATTATGGGAGTATTAGGAGAAAAGAGAGACAGAAAAATCAACACCAATTTTTAAAAGAAGCTTTGTCATATTCAGTGTAAAACATCAATATACAAGTCTGAGAAGCTCAGCTCAAATAGAGAAGCCACACAGGGTCATGTTCAAATCAAAATGCTGGAACTGGAAAAAAAAAAGATCTGAAATGAAGACAGAAGTACTTGAACACTTAGATCCTGAGTACATCACTGGTTGATTGTTCATCCCAAACCATTCCGGTATCTTCCTGTTTATAACATATCTTCTGAAATATTTCTGTATTGCTTGCCTTTCTCACCCCTGTGACCAAATACACAAGAGCAACTTAAGAGAGAAAGGACTTTTATTTTTGGCTCACAGTTTGAGGGTCCAACCATCATGTCAGGGAAGGCATGGTGAGGTGAGTGGCCAAGGGCTATGGTGATTAGAGCTTGAGGCTACTTGCCCACAGCTCTGCAGACCAGGAAGCAGAGATGGGATAGGAAGTGGGGTCTGGATATCAGCCCTAAGGCCCATCTCTCCACAGGCTTACTTCCTCAAATGAGGACTCACCCATGAAAGATTTCTACACCCTCCCAAAATAGTGCCACCAACTGGATACCAAGTGTTTAAGTGCATAATAAGGCTTTGGAAGAATTTTACATCAAAATCATGACAGTCATGTACAGATACCATATGTATAATTTTTCAGTTGGCTTTTGAACTAAAACATTTCCCTCTGATTTTTCTTACCAGCTAAGCATAATTTATCTCTTCTGTCTCTCTTTTGTATAACCCTCTTTCCTCCCTCCCCAGTACCTCCATTTTCTCCATTTCACTCTTGATAAAACCTGTCTTCTATAATCTCCCCTCTCTTGAGCTCCTTCTTCCCTTTACCCCTATGGTTCATGTATAACTCTCTCTGTTGCCATCCTGGTTAAATAGCCCCATTTATCCATTTCTCCCTTGGTACCTATCTCTTACTATTCCTCTCTTTCAGGTTCTCTTACTTTCTTGAATTAATGCTTTAAAAAGTGTGATTTTTTCTTTTCTTTCTCTCCCTCCCTTCCTTCCTTCCTTCCTTCCTTCCTTCCTTCCTTCCTTCCTTCCTTCCTTTCTTTCTTTCTTTCTTTCTTTCTTTCTTTCTTTCTTTCTTTCTTTCTTTCTTCTTTCTTTCTTTTCTTTCACAGGGTCTCCTTGTCACCCCAGCTGGCCTGGAACTCGCTATGTAGACCGGGCTAGCCTTGATCTCACAGAGATCCACCAGTCCCTGCTTCCCAAGTGTTGGAATTAAAGGTGTGCACCAGAATGCCTGGAAAAGTGTGATTTTTAAAAATGTTTACACATATTTAAATTCTCTTATTTTTCTGAGATAGTGTCTCACTGTGTAGACCAGACTGGTCTAGAGCTAATTATATAGCCCAGGTTGGCCTTGAATTCATGGTGGCCCTCCTGCCTATCTAGAGTCTTTCGTTTTAGGAAGATCAGCTTCAAATTTAATTTAATTTTATATTAATTCATTTTATATTTATTTTATATTCTACAACAATCACATTGTTCTCATAATCTAATCTTGCTCTTTTTCTCAGGTTTGGGAGGAAGTTAGTTCTCACGTGGGCTTTACTGCAAATAGCCATCGCTGAAACCTGTGCAGCGTTTATCCCCAGCTTCCCCCTCTACTGCTCACTACGCTTCCTTGCCGGAATTTCTTCTTCGTCCGTAATGACAAATTGTGGTTTGCTCAGTAAGTCAAAGCTGTTGATGGTAAATATTTTCCAAACTTTGATATTGACCTTCGATATCTCTCCTATCTTTGATCAAAGTCAAGATCCACTTTTTTTCTTTCAGTGATAGAATGGATAAGCCCTAAGTTCCAAGCCCTGGTAATGGTACTGTTATCTTCTACTGCTAGCCTTGGACAGGCACTATTGGGAGGCCTGGCTTTTGCAATTCGAAACTGGCACCACCTCCAGCTGGCAATGTCTGTACCGATATTTGTCTTACTTCTACCCACAAGGTATGAGCTTCCTTTCCTCCTCTGTCTTATGGAATCCTGGAATGAGAATGGATAGGGAATCAGGACATAAGAAATGCATGTTGTCCTTGGGATACAGCTGACGATGTGCTCTACTCTTTGTCTCTTGTTACAAGAGAAGAACAAGAAGACTTGTCACACAAAGCTGAGATGGAAGTGAAGTTGAATTTAAGATAAGGAATGAGCATTTTAAAAACATTTACTTTTTATTGATTTTTTTGTGATTTTCACACAATATACTTTGATGGTATTTTTATACAGTTATACACAAGTATCACAAGAGATATATAGCTATATTGAAGATGACTCATCGTTTATGCAGAGTTCTGTATTTTATTTACTAACTCGATAAATACACATCTCTTTCCATATTCATGTTACAGATAAATAACATAATTTTTAGTGTAAGTGCATCTAAAATGTTAAATGTGGTTTACTTTTAGAAAAATATATGTACCATTTGATACTCAGATTTTACTACGCACATCCTCACTTCATTTTCTAGACTATAAACAACTATAAAAATGTAAAATAACAATAAATTGTCTCCTGGAAACTCTCGGCAGTTTTGGCTGACTTTGCTACTAAGCTTCTGTTGGTTGTGGTAATAGAATTTTTGCAAAAATATTTTCCTTCACAGAAGAAAACATTTGAAGATTAGCTTGGCTCTATTATGCTTTGTATTTGTACAGGTCCCTTTGAAAATGAAAATATTTTCATCTTTGGAGGTGGGGTGGAAAAGGACAAGAAGCACATTTATCCTACAAGTATTTAATGAAAGAAGAGTGTAATTCTTTTCAGTTTAATGTTGTAGGTCTCCACTTCCCATCCTCTCCTCTTTTTGCAAAAAGACTCAAGAAGTGCTATTTTGGCTCAGCAGAGACATGTTTGGGTAGAATAGTAAGAGACGATCACAGACTTGGTGTAGTGCGATGAGTTCCTGTGGCTGAGAGGTGGAACTCCTGGCAGACTCATCATACTGTTTCATCCTCACTACACACCTACCAACATTGTGATGCTGCCGTTCCCACAGTATCAGTGAGTACGCAGAGCCAGATTTAGCTAGCTGGGTGGCCAGATGTAACCAGCTTTGGGAGTATAAGAACAATGACAATTTGCATGATATAATTAGTATACAAGCCAATCCATGGGTACTTATTTTTGAAAAAGAGCATATAGATAAATAGTCTCTATGCCCTTATAAGGAATTTAGAAACTATTTGTGCAAGTGTCCCTCATATTCCAGTTTTATGATCTCCATTGCAAATTCCTATCCACGCAAGGGCCGGCAGACTAATAGGACTCCAGGTCTGCAGAAGTGCAGGTGTCCTGCATGGGTGAATCAGTTCCAATTTTCCTAGTGCAGGTCCAGACAACATAGGGTTATATTTATTGATATAACTGAGTGAGTGGTAAGTATTTGATTAAAGAATGAAACTATCCCAGGATGCGTTTAGTGTAGAAATGACCATTGGAAGTTGATCATACTTCCAATGTCTTCTTGGCTAGGTGGCTGTCAGAGTCAGCTCGGTGGCTGATTATAACCAACAAACCCCAGAGGGCCTTAAAGGAACTTAGAAAAGCTGCACAGATGAATGGAAAGAAGAGCTTTGTAGACATCCTAACCATGGAGGTGAGCACAATGGGAGCTGGTTATGACACAAAGGAAACACAAGCTGTCATGTGTACTAAGTTAATGCTGGAGATTTAATGAGCTGTTGCTAAAAATATTGCATGCAGATGTTTCATTCAAGAGAAACAAAGAGCTCCCCTTCCTACTGTTCCTTGTAAAGCATCCTGTAGGATTTTATTCCTTACATTTGACTCAGTTTTTAAATCAACAGATTAAATGTTTTTATCATTAAACATTAAGTTTTGAAGTAGATATATGCAGTGGAATGTTAAATTCACCTAATTACCAATATAAGTATTGGCTCACATATCTTTTAGTGGTGAGAACAGATAACATCTACTGTTTGGCATTTTAGATAATCCACTGTATTGTCATTGGTGGCAGCCCCTTTATTAGTCTATCTATCTGTCTATCTATCTATCTATCTATCTATCTATCTATGTATCTATCTTTCTATCTATCTATCTGTCTATCTATCTATCTATGTATATATCTATCTATCTATGTATCTATCTTTCTATCTATCTATCTGGAGTAATATGTGTAATCTATCTATCTATCTATCTATCTATCAATCATCTGTCTATCTATCTATCTATCTATCATCTATCTATCATCTATCTACCTATCATTTATCATCATCTATCTATCTATCTATCTATCATCTATCATCTATCTATCAATCATCTATCTATCTATCTATTATCTATCTATATACCTATCATCTATCAATCTACCAATCTATCAATCTATCTATCTATCATCATCTATCATCTATCTATCATCTGTCATCTGTCTATCATCTATCTATCTATCATCTATCATCAATGTATCATCTACATTATAATATGTAATATAATCTATCATCTATCTATCATCTATCATCATCTATCTTTTATCCATCTATCTATCTATTTATCTATCTATGTATCATCTATCTATCTATCTCTATCTATCTATCTATCTATCTACCTATCTATCAATCATCTATCTATCATCTACCTATCTATCTATCATCTATCTATATCTATTATCTATCTGTCTATCATCTATCTATCTATCTATCTATCTATCTTCTATCTATCTATCTATCTATTATCTGTTTTCTATCTATCTATTACCTAGCTATCATCTAGCTATCATCATCTATCCTATATCTATCTACCTATCATCTATCTATCAATCTATCTATCTATCTATCTATCTATCTATCTATCTATCTATCTATCTATCTATCATCTGTCATCTATCTATCTATCTGTCTATCATCTATCTATCTAATCTATCATCTACTTGTCTATCTATCCATTTATCTATCTATTGTCTATCTGAAAATATCTTCTCCCCTCCCTCTCTATATAAGCAGTATAGATATCTCATTTAACCAAAAACCTTTCCATCATCCCCTCCCCCTAACTTCCACATCCTTTGATAGTCACTGTATTATGCTCTACTTTTGTAAGATCAGCTTTTTCAGATTCTATATGAGTGACATAATGTAATATCTGTCTTCTTGAATCTAGCTTTATTTCCAAGCTTATCCATGACACAAGTAGCAGTCAGGTAGTGTGATATGATGCCTCCAAATCTGTTTTGTTTAAAATTTTGTTTTGATTTTGTATTTTATTTAACAAGATCGCTTTAGCTATTCAAGAGCTCTTGTAGTTTCATATGAAAAGTTCAGTTTTTCTATTCCTGTTTTATTGATGTTTTGATAAAGATTTCATTGAATTTATAGTTTGGGGAATACGAAAATTTACATAAAGTTAATTCTTACAATGAACACAGGATATACGTCCTTTTTTTGTATTTTCTTCGTTTCTTCATCAGTGTTACAATTTCCATTGTAGAGATACTTCACCTCCTTGCCTAGATTCGTTCTTTAAAAAATTATTTATTCCTTGAAAATTTCACACATTTATACAATGATTCTTGATCATATCCATCCTCACTCCGTCTCCAACTTATCCCAGGACCCCATCACATCTCGATTTCATGTCCTCTTTTATATTATTTATTTACATATTTATTTTAACATACTGAATTCAATTACAGCTGTCCAAATGCACATGGGCCTGGGAAGCCTACCTGTGACCACCCTCTTAAAAGTGACTCTCTCTCCCCCAGCAGCCATCAACTCTCAATCCCTTAGATATTTTCTTTTCTTTTTAAGGGGTTTTTATTTATATTTTACATATGTATCTGTACATGTGTGTAGAAACCAGAAGAGGGCACCAGATCTCCTGGAACCAGAGTTACAGATGGTTGTGAGCTATCCTATTTGGGTGCTGAGTAACAAATTCTGTTTCTCTGCAAGAGCAAGTGCTTTTAACTGCTGAGCCACCTCATATCTCCCATTGTGAGACATTTTCTTCTACATCTATTATACATGCAAGTACCTTCTTTATTTCTTTTTCAGTTATCTTAGTACTAGTGTATAGAAATACTCCTGATTTTTGTATGCTAATTTTGTATCCTACAAATTTACTAAATTCATTTATTCTAATAGCTTTTGGTAGCTCCATTAACTGTATATACATCATGTCATCTGTTAACAGGGAATATTTAACTTCCTTTCTCCAATTTGGAAGATTTTATTTCTTTCTCCTTCCTGAGTGCTCTGTCTAGGAATTGCAGAAGTATGTTGAATAAAAATGCCTCGTTCCAGATCTTAGAAAGACATTTTTCTGCTTTTCTATTGCTCAGTATACTGCTGTATGTGGATCTCTCATATACAGCCTTTACTTTCTAGTAAAAAGAGCCTTTTACTCAAGGTCATGCAGGGCTAATGCATAGAATAGAATATATGGTAAGCAATACTACACAGTACTCTAAAAATAAGAGCATAGGGGGCTGGAGAGGTGGCTCAGCAATTAAGAGCACTGGCTGCTCTTGCAGAGGACCCAGGTTCGATTCCCAGAACCTACATGGTGGCTAACAACCATCTGTAACTCCATTTCCAGGGGATCTGAAGCCCTCTTCTGACCTCCATGGGCATTGCATGACATGGGTGCACTTACACATATGCAGGGAATACAGTCATACACATAAAATAATAAAAACAAAGTATTTAAAAACTAAGAGCATAGGTAATTTATCTTCTTATCACAAATAATAAAGATGAATCGGAGCAGGAGAAAAATTTCATTCTGGCTTGTTTAAAGCATGTATTATGGCCATAACTTAACCGACATATAATTATCTCCAAAGTCATATTCAATATATAGTTTTTGTATCAATTACAAATTGGTTTGAAAACAATTATCAGCTTCCTCAGTATCTCATCACATCCAGAAACATCTCTCAGAAGCTGACTTGAACTTTTTTTTTTTTTTTTTTGGTCTTTTTGAGACAGGGTCTCCCTGTAGCCCCAGCTGTCCTGGATTCGCTACGGAGACCAGGCTGGCCTCGAACTCACAGAGATCCGCCTGCCTCTGCCTCCTGAGCGCTGGGATTAAAGGTGTGCGCCACCATGAACTTTTAATTCCTTATTGGCTCTTTAATTTGCAATCTCCAAATGTATTTCACTGCAGCTTGTTCTTTCCTCACATCCTCTGTCCTCCTGTGCTCGCCCACTTCCAGTTGTGTTCCATAGTTATAAATAGCTGTGCCAAATAGTTTGAAAGACAAAGGGAGGAAAAATTTGTTGCTGAAGCTAGAGTAACAAGTGAAAGGACATTCTCAGTAATGGAAGAATCCTTAACGATGGCAGCATGTCTTTTCTCTAAATCGACTTATTTGTGATTTTTCCAATGTGCTTCACCGTGTTCCTTTAATTGTAGATGTGGAATGACAGTGGAGATACTGGGTTTTGAATAACTAGTTAGTTAATAAAGGCCCAAACTACGCTGGAATTTGGTAGGCACACTTGTGCCCTCATGAATGGCTTAGGAACTTTTTGCAAAAAAGGGTTTTAACTGTTCAGCTTCTTTTGGCTCCAATTCTTCTATATGTTTCCTTCCTCTTCTTTTTAATTACAAGGAAATCGAGGCACAGAGATGTTCAGTCTCCTCAAAGTATTTATCTAGTAAATGGCAAAACCACTGTACAACTCCTGGTTAAAAGTAAGTTTTAAGTGTAAATCTTATTACATGAAGGTCTCCCCTGATTTTATCTGTATTAGCGGCTGTTGCAACACTGTGATCAAAAGACCTGAGAGAAACAGCTTAAGGGAGGAAAGATCTATTATTCTGCTGGCACAAGAAGCAGTGGGTTGACTCGAACAACAGCTCCAGCAGCCCGAGTGCCTGCTCAGCTGAATCTGGGAAAATACTTTCCAGGGCATCCTGGTCAAGTAGGGAATCCCTCAAGCATTCCCTTCAAATGAAAATCTTTCAATTGAGTTTTTGGTTTTTACCACAAAGACTTCAGTGATTGAGGTATGGCTCTCTCAAGGCATTTTTCCTTCTACTTCAGTGCAAAACGCATTGCTTTGCTCTAAAGGTCTTAATTCTGTAACTGTTACAACCCCTTTGATTGATTTTGCTTTATCTGAAACTTTAACCACGCTCACTCACACCCCTTTCCTGGTCTGTGAGTTTTTCTGATTCTACTCTGCTTTTATTTCCGGATTCTCAACATAAGCCTAACTAAAAGCTGCCACCAATTGCCATGGTACAACTAGGCCTTTTTTGAAATTTCCCCTGTCAAATAAATCAGTACACAACTTTGACTTCAACCTCATTCAAAGTTTTAGCAAATGGACAGAATGTACCCAGATTTTTTGTCATAATACAATACAAATGGCCTCTAGCGAAATTCCTAATGAAGTGCCTGCTTCCATCTGAAATCTCACGACAAGGGCCGTCAGTGTTTACATTTTTATCAAAGCTCTGCTTATGGCATTCCAGGGCTTTTCTATCCTGCATTCTACGAATTCTTCCAGATTCCTTCAACAAATTACTTTCAGAGACCCAAGAACAAGGTCATGATTATCACAACATCAATATCACTTACGATTACAATTGCCTGCAGGGACGATTAAAATATATGACAGAAACATCTGAAGGGATGAGATTTATTTTCAGTTATGCATTCAGAAGATGCAGCCAGTCATGGTGGATAGGCATGGCAGCATGCAGGGAGGCAGACGTTTGTGACACACTTCTCACATCATGGTAGACTAGGAAGCATGATTAGAACCAAGGTTTGCTATAACCTTCAAAGGCCTACCACTGGTGGCCTATTTCTGACAGGCAGCCTCTGGCTCCTAAAGGTTCCAGAACCTCCTAAAACATTACCTCCAGTTAGGAAAACAGATAGTCAAACACAAACCTATGGGAACATATCACATGCTAACCTTGATATTATCCTCAGACTTAATTCTAGGCATCCCATTCGTGGAGATACAACATGCCAGGCTTTTCTTCAAATAGGATGATCCAAAGTCTAAAATAAAGACTCCTGAGAAAGAATTCTTCCTGAGACTGACATTTTTTTTCTGTCATTAGTAATGGAAAGATAAATTCAGTTGCTAGGTTCTTCAAACTCAGGTGCTCTTTGTTTAGCTTTGGCCACAACCTAAAGAAGTCTCTACATGTTTTTCTTCCTCACCTATATCTCTAACCTATGTACCCCTTTCAATGTTTCGTAGCCATTTATAGCCTCCAGTTTGAAGTGTCCTCACTGTGATGAGCCCCAGAGTTTCCTCGAACTTCTGGGTCACACTTCTCACCACTTTTATGCCATCCATTCTTTTTTTTGATGTCTGTATTTTTCATGAGATAGAAGCAACAATTGATCTCATCATCAGCAGGTGCCTCTTATACCCCCATAACATCCAGCGTTTTGTGGCAACTAAAGAGCATGTTGCTGTTGCTGCTTAAGGTCGTGAGAACCGCGGTGAAGGAAGAGCTGGAGGCGGGACAGAAAAAGTCGTCTCCATGTGACTTGTTCCGCACACCCAATCTGCGCAAACGGATGTGTCTCCTGTCCTTTGTGAGGTAAGCTTCACACAGTGTCTATTAAAACAATGTGGACATGAATATTTCTCATGGCATAGATAGATTTGGAGATAAAGAATTTATTTTTATAGCTGGAGGTAAAAAGGACTTTCATTCCTCTTTGTCTTTTATTTAAAAAATTTTAAATTATTTTTATTTTATGTGTATAAGTGTATTAGTTGCATATATGTAAGTGCACCCAAGTTGTATCATGCTTGTGGAAGTCAGAAGAGGGTGCCAGATTCCTCTGGTACTGGAGTTATGGATGGTTGTTAGCCACCGTGTGAGTGCTGGGAGTTAAATCCAGGTCCTCTGCAAGAGTAGCCAGTGCTCTTAACCTCTCATCTCTCTGGCCCTAGATTTTATTCTTTCTTTATGATTTACTTAAAAAAATTTCGTACAATATATTTTATATTTAGACCACTTTCTCTAGCTGCACCTCTCCTATAGGGTCCCCACCAGATTTCATGTACTCAGTCATACATGTTAACGTCTACCGAATCAAATTTGTGTCCTCAAATGTCCTTTAGTGTATGTCCATCCACTGGAGCCTGGTTAACCTATCCAGCGTCACATCATTAGAGAAGACTAACTCTCCCTGTCCCACTAGTCATCAGTTGCCAATAATTCCTCTGCTAAGGCTGGGGCTTCTTACTCACTTCCCCACTTCTATGTTGTGTTTTTGCCTGATTTGAGTTTTCATGGGTCTTGTGCATGCTGCTACCATTGCTGTAAGTTCGTAAGTGTAGCTTCCCAGGTGTCTGGAAAACAGTTTCCTCGTGGTCCTCAGCCACCTCTGCTTCTTCCCCAATGAGCCCTGAGACCTGGGTGGCAGTGGTTTTGATATTGACACCCTATTCAGGGATAAATTTTCAGCAGTCCTTATTCTCTGTACTTTGGCCAGTTGTGGCTTTCTGAGTTAATTACCATCTATTACATGAGGAAGCTTTGTTGGTGAGGATTAACAGACACATTGATATTCTTTCTACCCACTGTTTCCCTATGTTCCCTGAGCCTTAGGTATAGAGGTTGCATTGTAGATGTGGTACTTAGGGCTGGACACCTCACAGACACTTCTCTGTGTTTGACCATGGAGCTTTGTAATAGTTTCCATCTGCAGTAAAAAGGACTTTTTTTCCTGTTTTTAGGTAGTGAGAGGTGCACTTGTCTGTAAATATAAGGATACCCATTTAGAATACAGTAAGAAATTACACTGGTCTAGGGGTGTGACAAAAGTAGGGTTTTCTCCAGGATATATGACCTCTCAAGCCATGTGTATTTGAATTTGTTCACAGTACCACACCTGGGTTCCCTCCCATTGAGTGGGTCTTAAATCTAATTAGACAGCTGTTGATTACCAACGGGATAACAGTGCCACTACTGAGACAATTTGCTGGGCTAGGCATCATTGTGGTTTGTAGGCTTTACAGCTTGATGGAATCATTGATTGGTTTTCTTCCTTAGCAGTTCGCATAGTATCTTCAGATATTATTAGAGCTAATATTCAAGGAGAGGGTTCCCAGATCAGTTCCAGTTTAATTGTTCCAAGTCCTGTGTCTGAAGTATGTCTTGTCTAAAGCAATAGGCTCTTACCTTCAAATTCTGGGAGGCAATCAAGGGTTGTGGCAATAGCTTGTGATATTCTGGGAGTCTCTTGGACTACCCTGACCAACAACTTGAAGGGAAGTTTCCAGTGCCTGGCACCATGTTTTTTTGCTATATAGCATTCAACTAAACACATGCACTCACATCTGTATACTGCATATGTATTTTTCAGTAGGCTTTTGAAGTAATACATTTCCCTGTTTTTTCACACCACCTAAGTATTATTTATCTCTCCTTTCCTCTTGTATAACCCTCCCTCCTTCCTCCCCAGTTAATGTACCCCCATTTTCCCCATTTCCCTTTTGATAACACCTGTCTCCTCTTTATCTCCATGATACCTTTCCATTTTTCTGGCTCTTGCAGTTACATCAGGGCATATACTCCCATCTAAGGATTTGGAGCTGAGGTGCCCAAATGAGAGAGAACATACATGGCTTCTCTGAGTCTGTTACTTTACTTAGTGTAACAGTTTCCAGTTCCATCTATTTGCTTGCAAATTTCATGATTTTGTTTTTATTTACTGCTGAATAGAACTCCATTGTGTAAATGTACCACATTTTCATTATCCATTCATCATCCGAGGGCCATTTAGGCCGTTTTTTTTTTTAATTTTCTAGATTTTGTCAAATAGCAGCAACAAACATGATTGAGCAAGTACCTCTGCAGTAGGATGCTGAGTGCTTTGAGTATATGCCAAGGAGTGGTATGACCATATTACAGGGTAGGTTTATTTTCAGTTGTTTGAGTTCTCCACACTTATTTCCATAGTGGTTGTACCAGTTTTCAATCCTACCAGCAGTGAATGAGGGTTCCCTTTTCCCTACATTCCCCCCAGTATTTGGTGTCATTTGTTCTCTTGATTGTAGCCAAACTGACTGAGGTAAGATGAAATCTTAAAGTAGTTGTGATTTGCATTTCCCTAATTACTAAGGATGTTGAACACCTTTTAAGGGATTTCTTAGTCATTTTTATTTCTTCTTTTGTGATTTCTAGCCCATTGTTTAATTGAGACATTTGTTTTCCGGATTTTTTTTTTTTTTTGGTCTTTTTGAGACAGGGTCTCCCTGTAGCCCCTGCTGTCCTGGAACTCACTATGTAGACCAGGCTGGCCTTGGACTCACAGAGATCTTCCTGCCTGATTGGTTTTTTTGAGTGTATTCTGAATATTAATCCTTTTTGAGATGTTGTAGTGGTTTGAATGAGAATGTCCCCCACAGGCTCCAAGTATTTGGACATTTTGTCCCCAGCTGGTGGTGCTGTTTTGGGAGGTTTTAGGGGGGTGTGCCCTTGATGGAGGAAGTGTGTCACTGAGGGCGGGCTGAGAGATTCTTAAGCCTTGCTGGATTTCCAGTCACTCTCTGCGTCCCATGCCTGCTTGAACATGTAAGTGTTTAGCTCTCTGTTCCTGCTCAAGCCTCCTCACCATGCCTCTCTGCTGTGACAAACTCTAATCCCTCTGGAACCTGGAACTGTAAGCTCTTGAAGTCCACTCTATTGGCTTCTTCATTTAATTCACTGTTTCCTTTGCTGTACAGAAGCCTTTTAGTTTAATGATGTCCCATTTGTCAATTGTTGATCTTTATTCCTGAATGACTGATATCAAATTTAGAAAGCCCTTTTCTACACCTATATTGTGTAGAGTATTGTCTATGTTTTCCTCTAAGAGTTTCAGAGTTTTAGGTTTCACATTGAAGTCTTTCATCCATTTAGAGTTAACTTTTGTACGGGGTGATAGCTACAGATTGAATTTCATTCTCCTACACATGGAGATTCATTTTTCCCAGCACCATTTGTTGAAGATGCTGTCTTTCCTTCAATGAGTGCTCTTGGCACCTTTGTCAAATATCAGGTGGCTGAACTTGTGTGCACTCATGTTTGGGTCTTCTATTTTGTTCCATTGACCACATGTCTGTTTTTGTGCCACATCATGTTGATTTTTATGACTGTAGCTCTGTAATATATTTTGAGATCTGGCATGGTATCGTTCCCCAGAATTGCTCTGTGTGGTCAGAATTGCTGTGGTTGTACAGAGTCTTTTGGAATTCCATATTGTGCTGGATAGCTTTAGTTGTCATCTTGACACACCTACACATAGGGAGTCTCAACTGGGGAATTTCTTCCATTCGACTGGCCTATGGCCATGTCTGTTGGGGCATTTTCTTGATTGTTGAGTGATGTAGGAGGGCCCAGCCCACTGTGGGCAGTGCCACCCTTGGGCAGGTGGTCTGTATTGTATAAGAAAGCAGGTCGAACAAAGCCTAGGGGAATAAGCCAGTAAACAGCATTCCTCCATGGACTGTACTTCAGCTCCTGCCTCCAAGTTCCTGCTCTGAGTCCCTACCTTGGGCTCTCTCAGTGATGAACTGTGGTCCAGGAGATTTAAGCCAAACGAACTCCTTCCTTCCCAAGTTGGTACAGGTCAGAGTGTTTTGTCATAGCAATTGAAGGCAAACTAGAACATGTATGAAATTTAGCATGGTTTATTTCTATTTCTGTGATGAATGTCATAGGGATTTTGATTGGGATTGCATTGAATCTACAAATTGCTTTTGGTAGAATGATCATTTTCACAATATTAATTCTATGAATTCATGAACACAGGGGGTCTTTCCATCTTGCGTCTTCCTCAATCTCTTCAAAGTTTTAAAGTTTTCATTGTAGAGGTCTTTAATATGTTGGTTAGGGTTAGTCATAGATATATTTTTTAGGCTATTGTGAATGGGAGTGTTTCCATGAACCCTTTCTCTGATTGCTTGTTATTGGTATGTAGAAAGGCTAGCCACTGTTACAAATTGATTTTGTACCCTGCTACTTTGTTGAAAGTGTTGATCATTTCTAACAGTTTTCTGGTAGAATTTTTGGGACCTCTTACATATATTTTGGGATCTCTTACATAGTCTTCATCATATCATCTGCAAATAGGAATAATTTGACCTCTTCTTTTCCAGTTAGTACCCCTTCAATTTCCTTCTATTGTCTTATTTCTCCAGCTAGACTTTCAAACACTGTATTAAGAAGGAGTGGAGATTGTGGACAACCTTTCCAAACCTCTTGATTATCTCCCAGAATAGTAGTTAAGACCCTACTGCTGAAGACAGGGTATACTTTGGATATAGGATTTGAAGCAATGGAGCAGGAACTGAACTGGAAGCCTTCTAACTGAAGTCTGGCTATCATAATGCTAGATGATGATATGCAAACTATCAAGGGAGAAAAACAATCAATGGTCCAACCCAACCCTGAAGCCCAATAGCCATTAATGACTGATGCAGCAAAGTAGTGACACTGTCAGCTGGGGGATAATCAACAGCTATCTAATTGGACTTGATGCCCTCTCAATGGGAGTGAACTCATGAGTGGCACAGTAAACTCAGCCAAATACACATGGTAGGTGA